CCCCCAAGGGAGAAGCAGCAAAGAACTGGAGAGCCTCTCCCATCCCTGACTCAGTCCTTTCTCCTCTGGGTGGCTTTTTGGGGGGGTGCTGGGACAGTCTAGGCGCTGCTGGGGTCTGGATGGCGGACCCAGGGCCATCCTGGTTCCTGCAGGGTCGATGGGTCCCATCTTCTCTTCTCCCTTCCCTGCCCTCAGCCCAGTGAGTGGGGAGGGGCTGGGGGTCATGTGCAGTGTATTTATGTAAGACACCCAGACGGAGGGCATGGGTATTTATATAACCCGGAGTGGGTATTTATGTAATATAGGATGCGGGTGTATTTATGTTCTTTTCCGAACCTGCGGCTTTCCCCGCTGCCATGTGTGGTCTCTGAATTGGCGTTGGCGGGAGCACAGACTGGGGGGGAGGGTGCTTGTGTGTGTACACACACCCGCGCCCCCTCCCCCGAGCAGGGCTCATGGTGACTGCCTGCTTTCTTTTTTGGAGTGTACACACGGGATGGTGTGGATGCGAGGTGTGTGGTGTGTGGGTTTCCTTGCAAATGTAGAGTGTGTGCAGCTGGCAGCCCTGGCACCTCAGCTGGGACTGGCCAGGCATGCCCACAGAGGCCCTTGGTTGAGAGCCCAGAGTTTGGCCAGCCCTGGGGTGGAGACTACTTCCTTGTGGCCATTGGGGAAGGGCTAGCGGTGGCTTCCTGGGAGCCAGGTGCTTGGGCTGGATGTCTCTCCTGGGCAGGAGTTCTTGGCACCTTTCCTCTGCTAGGTAGAGAGCCCCGGCCTGACCATCTGTGGACTAGATCCTTCCCACCTCCCTTCCCAGGTGCATCTGGCTTTGGAGGCTAGCACTTGGCATGGGGAAGGGGCAGAACCTCTGTGCCTGGCACGGCTGCTTTTCCGTCTTCCTCTTTGCTTGCCAGCCCTGGCATGAAATAAGTCCTGTTTGTGAGGGTGGGAGGCGGCCAGGTGGGGAGGCAAGAACCTCGTGTGGGTGGTGGGTGAGGAGACTGCCACTAACTTGCTGCTGTGGGGTGGGGTGGGCAGGGGGCATGGCCTCTCTGGGCCTGAGTTCCCAGTCTGTAGACGAAGGCCCCTCTTGATAATCTTGTACACTGGCCCTCTTGTAGACACTGCAAGATTTTAGGGGTTCCCCACCCATCTCCCAATTTAGTAGTTCACTCTTCCCTCTCCCCCCATGGCAGACATCACCTACCAGCCATGGAGTTTCCTCCTCTGCTGGCCAAGACCCCAGAGTGCCCAGATGTTTGCCCCAGGCCAGAGCAGAAGGGTCTCTACCGGAGACCCGGACGTCCCACAGGCTTGGACACCCAGGTGGGGCATAGGACATAGGCAAGCTGTTCAAATCAGCGCCCCCCTCCCCCACCTCTCCTCCCATTCCACAGAAGCGGGAGGCCGAAAACCTGGCCAAATTTGGTCCCTTCCCTTGGGCAGTGGCCCTCCTGGAAGACCCTCCTAAGGGTCCTAGTCTTGAAGGAGTCCAGTCCCAAGCAGTCCACTGAAAAAAATATGTGCAGAGTGGCCTGTGTGAGGTTCTTGGTGTGGTGAGGTGAGGAGGAGACCACTGGAGAAAGTAGACGCCTCTCCGGCAGGGCACAGTGTAAACTGGCAAGCTCTGGCCTCTGGGAATGCCAGACCAGGCTGTGGAGGCTCGGCCTCTAATTCTTGGCACTAGAAGCCTGGGGTAGGGATGGGGCCAGGGCAGTTCTGTAGTTTCTGAGTCCTGAAGGGGCTGAGGAGCTTCTTAGGGACCCTCTGTTCACTTGTCTTCCCATCCCTGGAGGTTGGAACTTGCTGGTGGTTGCCATGGTAGCAACTCTTGGATGATCATGTCCTGTATCCCCCTTCCCCATCACCCCTGTCCTTGACTTTTCTTTTAGGGTCTTGGCTCATTGTGACTAGTCTTCCTCTGAGAGGCTCCTATTAGAGGGTCTCTGGATGAGGGCCCCCCAAGTTTCCTCCTGGGCCTTGTCTCCAATTCCACCCTCTGCCCGGCTTCACTGACACCTATTCTAAACCTGCCTCAGCCGATGCCCACATGAGGCTCTCGGGCCACCTGACACCTGGTTGCCCTCAGGCCGAGCGAGGCCAGATACCTTCCTGGATAGTGGGTGGGAGAATGCTCGGCTCCTAGTTCCTTGTGGCTTTGCCTGCCTTTGGTGTGGGAGGCATGGGGTCCAGCAGGCTCGGCCCCCTTCCCAGCTCCCTGCTTCTCTGACTGCGTGTTTCTGCTTCCCTTCACAGTGAGAGCGCACCATGGAGCTCCGTGTGGGCAACAAGTACCGCCTGGGCCGGAAGATCGGGAGTGGGTCCTTCGGCGATATCTACCTGGGTAAGTGTCCCAGGCTCCAGCTCAGTGGTTCCTGAGCCCTGGGACAACTTTGGGGACAATGAGGAGAAAAGATGCCAGGACTTCAGGTTCTGCAGGCAGAACTTGGCTCTGGGGCTGCGGTGGCATGTTTTAGTCATTTTTGTCCCTGGGGCCATCCCAGGTGGGGATGGAAGCAGCAGGTTGGGGTGAGGCAGGCTGAGGGGCTCCTCACAGAGCCAAAGCAGGGTCCCTGCTTGCTGCAGCCTGGGCAGAGGAGGGTATTTTTAGCTCTGGTTCCAGCTTCGGATGCCCTGGGTCTCTAGCTGGGCGTGGGAAAGCCCAGACTAGATGAGCACCCCATGTTTTGTCTCCTGGGAGAGGGATACTGGTGGACAGAGAGTCCTGGGCTACTGCTGGCTCCAGCTAGGCCCCCTCGCTGTGGTCCAGCCTCCTGGAATTCAGCCCAGGCAGGCTTCGGAATGACGTGGGCTCCCCCAGCAACCTCGGGGGAGGCAGGGCTCTTAGCTTTAGGACCTCTTTCTCCGGATGTGCTTCCTGTTGAAAGTCTGAGTTTGCTGTCACTTTGTTGTTTTAAACAAATCACTGACATCTCACCCCATCCTTGCCTGGGAGTCAAGAGGCTCCTGCCTTCGAAGGCTACTTGTTAGCCACCTGAGGGGCCTGGTCAGGAGTCACTGCCCTTCCTTTGCGGTTGTTGGTTTGTAGTGCAGGTATCGTGTTGGTAACTAAGAGCTGGAGCTGTTAGAGCAAGGTGGCCGGCCCTTGGGTCTGTCCTCACTCCTGTTCCTGTGTCCTTGGAAAATAAATAAGCTCTGTCCTGGGAGGAAGAGACCCACAAGTCAGTGTGCTGTGCTCCCTGACTCAGAACTGGGGTGAGGAGTCCCTGCCCTCTTGGGCATGAACTCTGCTGATCAGCGAGCCACTGCCTCCCCCATCAGAGGGGACGGGCGATCTCTGAGCACATGCTTCGTGCTGGGCAGGACGCTGTTAGAGAACATCGTGATCTGTCCCCGCAGTTTCTAGAGATGTCACTGTGCTGTACCCGCTTCACACATTGAGAAACAGGAGCATCTTGGCTAAGTTGGCCCCCATGGTTTCTCTCAAAAACTAGAAATGGCAGCCCTTATATCCACAGCCCTCCACGTGCGTGACAGAGTGGAGAAGACAGAGCATGGGAGGGAGGCATCAGACAGAACTGGGTTCCAGGCCTGGCTCTGGGCCTCAGCGTGTCCATCCAGCAAGCCTGTGTGATGCCGCTGCCTGGCTGACCGAGGGCTGTCATGAGGCAGAGCTGACGTGACGCATGGCATGGGAAAGCATCGTAAACTGTGGAGTGCAGGCCGGATGTACAGTTCATTGCCGGTCGCCTGGTAGCTTGGCCTCCTCTGTAAACACTGCTGGAGCGCAGAGCAGGAGGAAGGAACCGTGCAGGCTGCAGTGGTTTTAAAGGTTTTTCTCTGTGACTCCAAGCTCCTCCAGGGACGGCAGGCATTAGGTTGTTTCCATCCTCTGTCCCCGGTGCCCGGCATGTGGCTTGCCCTAAGTGGGTGTTTAGTGAAGCTTCTCACATGGATGAATGAGGAAGTGGCTGTCACATGCAAAGGCACGTGAAGTGGCCTCACATAGGGTGGGGTAGAAGGAGGTTGGGATTTGGGGGCAGGTCCAGGTTTGGGTCCCTCCAATCTACTGCTCATTTTCTGTGTGACCTAGGATAAGCCACTTTCTCTCTCTCAGCCTTGGCATTCTCATCTGTGAAATGGGGTACCCATATCCTTTCCGTTTGTGAAATTGGGCTGGGTGTAAAGGACCCCCTTATCAGGGAGGCTCTTGGGCTCAGGACTGAAGCCTGGAACCAGTGGCTTGAGCGCAGAGGGCATAGAGAGGCAGCTTTTGGTACAGACCCACCTACTCCTAGACAACACCTGGCCCAGGGCCTTCTTTTTATTGAAGGGAAACTGAGGCCCCGAGAGGGGGAGGGGCAGGCCAAGGTCACTCAGAAAGCCAGTGTCCCTGGTCCGCGTGGAGGGACCTCCCTGGGGGCAGGACTTCCTGTTTATCCTGTAGTCATCTAATACATTTTAAAAACGGGGGTCAGATTTACTCCTGTTATATAGGCTTTGGAATAAATCCTGCCAGGGTTTGGGTGCTGGCGTTTCTTTTACTAGCTGTGTGCCCTTGAGCAGGTGATACCCTCTGCCAGCCTTGGTTTTCCCATCTATAAAATGGGGGGTGGGTGAGGCCTCCAAAGTGGTGAGAAGTGGTGAGATCACAGCGTGCAAAACACCTGCACATGCTCGGCCCTGCAGTAATGTTTTTTAATGCGTTCTCGACTGTCAGTCTTAGTTGGAATTTGTTACTGTCCAAGGATCTGGGTCCTCTTAGGCCAAGGGGTAGGGAGGGAGCCAGCTTTACCCTGGCTGTCCAGTCTTTGCCGGGTACGTGGGCCTTGAGGGCCCCAGTCTGACACAGTGTCCTGCCAGCTCCTTCCTGAGCCCTTGTCTTGCTGGCCTGAGGACAGTGGTGATTGTAGGGCCTCCCCGGCTGGCCTTGCTGGCTCCCTTTGTTCAGAGCTCTGGCCACATTCTTGTTGCCAGTGCCAGTGCCAGTGCTGGACTCCAGATGGCCTCTGCAGGTGGGGCTGGGTGTGGCCTCCAGGCCCTGCTTTCCAGGATCGAATGAAGGCAATCATGTTATAGATGCGGCTGTGAGGCCCACAGCTCCTCTTTGGTCCGTTTCCCCCACTCCCAGCAACATCATAAGGGGACATCAGGACAGTGGGGCCAGCTATGTTAGGGCCTCGAGTTGGCTGCACGAGGTCCAGAGCTGGCCAAGCCTGTGCCCACTCTGCTAGTCACTGTCCATGTGCCCTTGGGAACTCTACATCGTTTAGTCTCTGGTCCTTGGTTCTAAACGGGGAGGGAACGGTGCTCCCCACCAGGTGGTTATGGAGATACTCCACCTCTAGTCCAGCCAGCTCCCTGAGTGTGTCCATGTATCTGTGTGGGTGTCTAAGCAAGCCCCATTGTGAAGCTGGTCCCCCTCCCCAGCTAGATCTTCCTGACGTCCCAGACCTTCTAGGGCTGGCCAGGTCCAAGCCCTTCTCTGTGTCCAGGTTTGTTTTCCAGACTGGCCTGTCCTCCCATAGGCCCATTTCTGACTGACAGGCCGCCCCTGCCCTGGCACCTTTTACTTCATCACAGTTTACCTAGGTTCCTCCCACAGAGGTGAGCTGAGCTCCAGGCAGCGCTGCCTTAGCTGGTCCAGGGCTCAGTGTGTGTCTGTTGCTTGAATGAATGAGGTGCCAGGGAACTGGAATAGAGAAGAAAGCAGGGGCTTTGGGGCTTAGTTTCAAACCCTGGCTCTGTTGGAACCAGTTCTGTGTGACCTCGGGGCAGTTAGTTAACCTCTCTGAGCCTCAGCTCAGTAGTTGTGAGGATTAAGGGAGATAGAGAAAACACTGGCATCTTCCTGCTAGAACATAGAGGCAGCAAAGGGGTCCAGTGGTGATGGGACCCCATTGGGGGAAGCAGCTGTGACAGGTTTCCAGCACTTGGTGGGGATCAGAAGATTGTCTAACAGTTGGGCCCTGTCCCAGAGAAGTTGTGTGGCGCTTAGCTACTGACCTTTGGTATGTCTGTTTCTACAAACAGTAGTACTTGCAGGATGGTGTAAGAGTTCAGAGGGACAAAGGGCTCCTACTCTCCATCTCCTCATCTTGGGGGAGGACACTCTCCCCAGCACCTCTCCTCTCTGCACACATCTGCTGAATCCTAAGTTCTGAAGGCCCAGCCCCTGCCTGGATAGGGCCACCATCAGCTCTTACCTGGGTCTCCCGCTAGCCCTCTCCAGTCCTTGCACTAGTGGGTCTCAACGAGGGGAGAAGGGGGTTTTGTCCCGCGGGGGACATTGACAAGGTCTGAAAACATTTTTGGTTGTTTTTACTCCAGGAAGGAGGGATACTTCTGTCAGCTAGTCAGAAGAGGTCAGGGATGCTGCTGAACACCGCGCAGTGCTCAGGACACCCCCCACAACAAAGATTGTCAGAAGTGGGGAGGCCGAGAAACCCTGTAATCAGGCATCTGGACTTGGCCCCTGGAGTCTCAGGCTAAAGGCCGGGGTCTTCGCTCTCCATTTTAGACCAGCTTTCTCCCCTGCTCCCCTCTTTCATTGTCGCCTTCAGCTACAATTCAGGGTTCACCGCACCCCTTCCCGTGCTGTGATCACTGTCCAGCACAGTCCTGAACCCTTGTAACCTGTCCAGGGGCGCTTTTCTTTCCCCACCACGTGCTTATTTCCTCCCCTTTCCTTTCACCATCCTACACATGGTTGGGGCACCTCAGGCTCATCTCGGAAGCCTGGGGATTGGCACTGGTCATCAAATCTAATGTTCCTTGAGCACTTTACAGTGTGCCAGGCATGATGCTAAGCCTGCTGACACCTCAGAAAGACCTAATGAGCTAGGTACTATCATCCCTGGGTTGCAGGTGAGGTGCCTGAGGCTCAAGAGTAGTCCCCTGGTTAGGAGGTGGCAGAATCAGGATTTGGGCTCCACGGAGCCCACGCTCTTAGCTGCTCTGCTCTCCTGCTCTTTTGTGGGCGGGAAGAGAGCACGGCCAGCCCAGTGGGCTGCAGTGCGCCCAGCGCCCCTCCCTGCCACATCCTCACTGTCCCCCGGAAACGGGTGCGTCTCCCCCACGTCACGTGTGGGAGTGTTGATGTGTCAAAAGCACTATAGTTTACAAAGCACTTTCTCTCTCATTGCCCACCGGACTTAGTAATCTTTTTCTTTCTTTTTTTTTTTAATTTGAATTTTATTTTATGTGGCTCAAATGAAAACACACAAAACCAAAAGCCAAAACACAAAAACATGTTAAGTGAAAGAAGCCAGTCACAAAAGACCACATATTGTATGATTCCATTTCTATGAAATGTCCAAGAAGAGGCCCATCTCTGGAGACAGGAGGTTAATTAGCGGTTGCCTCGCGCGGGGAGACTGCCAAGGGGGTAGGGTGCTTGGGGACATGAAAATGTTCTAAAATTGATGGTGGTGTTGGTTGCAGGATCTTGTGAATATTCTAAAAACCACTGAATTGTACACTCCGAAGGAGTAATTGTATAGTATGTGAATTACATCTCAACAAAGGTGTAGAAAAAATTATAGCACATAACATAGTATCCAGTGAGAGGTGCTCCCTGGCTCTCATGTTTCTTTTCAGTGTTTCTTTATATAGATACAACCAAACATAGATACATATGATTTCCCCACCTTTTCTTTTTTTCTTTTTTTTTCTGAAAAGAGAACAGAGAGCATAGGATGGTACATAGTGTCTGTGCTTGGCTCTTTCACTTCCCGTGTCTCCGAGGCCGCCTTCCGCACTCGTTCTCCATTGTATTCTGTTGGGGGCGGACATCCTCTCTCCATCCAGTCCCCAGAGTGACGGGCTTTTGGGTTGTTTCCAAGCTTTCGCTATTGCACACAGCCTGTGGCGGACAGCCCGGTCCAGGCCTTGTATTACACTGTGCAAGGGTGCCCAGTAATCTCCAAAGTGGGAGCTGGGTGGTGCCCAATCGCCCCCTGCAGGATTTAGGGGTTCACGCTTGGACACGCCTGTTGTCTTATGATGGGGCTTTTGCCAATTGTAGGTGGAAAATGGTCTTTCAGGAGCATTTTAATTTGTATTTTTCTTACAAGGAGGTAGACGCATCTTTTCATATGAGTAAGCCGGTTTTACATGAATGAATTCTTTCTCTGTGGAGTGTCTGTTCAGATTCTCTACCCTGTTTGCTATTGAGTCTTTGGTCTTTTTCCTACTGATCTCTAGGAGCTGGTTATACTACATTAGTGATGTAGTATAGGGGTACAAGTATGTGTTTCTGGGGACTTTGTTTCTGGTGTTTTTGCCATGGAGAAAGGATTCCTTTTGGGGGGGTGAGGAAGCCTTTTTTTTAATGGCGTCTAGATTTTAAGTCAGGAATAAAAAGCCTTGTTTACTCCAAAGTTAAAAGAGTTCTCCCACCCTGGCTGGGAGCATCATCCATGCACCAAAACGTTACGGGTTCGATCCCCATTCGGGGCACATATGGGAAGCAACTGATCAATGTTTATCTCTCACCCTGATGTGCTTTTTTTTCTCTCTAAAAAAACCAAACAAACAATAAAAACATATCCTTGGGTGAGGATTTAAAAAAAAACAAAAACAATTCCCCCTTCTTCTAACATTTCATTGTTGTTGTTTTTTAAATTTTTCATTGTTTTTTAAAAAATTATTACTAAATGTTGAATAAATACAAAAGAATACAAATAAAATATGTGCATTGTGTCAGGCCCCCTTTCCACCACCTAGTTGGAGGAGGACCTGCCTGTCACCTTGTGGAGAGGCCTGGCACCCTCTCTGCCCTGTCCTCTGCTGTCCCCTCACAGAAGCGACCACTGTTGACATTTTAAATTGTTCCCTTTGGTCCGACCAGTGTGGCTCAGCGGTTGAGCATCTACCTAGGATCCAGGAGATCGAGGTTCGATTCCCGGTCAGGGCACATGCCCGGGTTATGGGCTCGATCCCCAGCAGGGGGCATGTGGGAGGTAGCCGATCAATGACTCTCATCATTGATGTTTCTCTCTCTCTCCCTCTCCCTTTCTCTCTCTGAAATCAATAAAGACATAAAAAAAATTCCCTTTGTTAAAAGACTTTATCACATATTTATGTCCCTAAACTATATATATATTTGGTCTTGCGTGCTTTGAAATGAAGACATAAAAATGTGCTTGTATTTTTCTCTTCCTCTTTTAAAAAAAAAATTGAGGTGAAATTCATATGATGTAAAAGTCACCTTTTTAAAAAAAAATCCTCACCCGAGGATATGTTTATTGATTTGGGAGACAGACAGACAGACAGACAGACATAAACACGTCTGTTGGTTGCCTCCCGGGGCGACTGGGGATCGAACCACAACCTCTTGGTGTACGGAATGAAGCTCAGCCAACTGAGCCAGCCGGCCAGGGACTGTTTTTAAAGTACAGAATTCAGTGGCATTTGGTGCATTCCCAGAGTTGTGGCAACCACCATCCAAACCCGGTTCCAGTACATTTTTATCCCCCCAAAGAAAACCCTGTACCTATTAAACAGGTGTACCCCATTTCCCCTTCCCCAGCCCCTGGCGCCCGCCAGTCTTTCTTTTCTATGTGGATCTGTCTGTTCTGTATGTTTCGTATAATGGAACCATACGCTCTTTTGTCCTTTGGTGTCTGGCTGCCGTGTTTTTACGGTTCATTGATGTGGCATGTATTAGTACGTCACTCCTTTTTATGGCTGAGTAATATTCCACGACATGAACATATATTTTTTTATCCACTCATCTGCTGATGGACATTTGGGTTGTCGACACCTTTTGGCTCTTGTGGATGGCGCCACTCCTTGCTGTCTCACACTTCCTGCAGCTGTCATCCGCTCCTTGTCCCTACCCTGTGGCTTTCCTCTGTATGACTGTTTCACCGTTTGGCCATTCCGCCGTTGGACATTTGGGTCGTCATGGCCGTGCTCATTCTTTCACGCCCTCCTGGTGCTCACGGTTCTGAAGAGCATGTACTTGGGAGTTGGCCTGCTTGGTCATGTGTGTTTAACTTGGTAAATGCCAGCCTGGTTTCCAAAGAAAACCCCATGCCAGCTTGCACCCCACCTTTTTTTAATTTTTTGATCCTGACCTGAGGATATTTTTTTCCATTGCTTTATTTTTTTAGAGAGAGTGGGAGGGAGGGACAGAGAGAGAGAGAGAGAAACATTGATGTAAGAGAGACATGTTGATTGGTTGCCTCCTACAACTGACGGGGGTGGGGAGTGAACCTGAAACCCCACACTGGCCAGGGCCCCACTTTTTTTTTTTTTTTTTAATATATCTTTTATTGATTTCAGAGAGGGAGAGAGAGAGTGAAACATCAGTGATGAGAGAGTCATTGATCGCTGCCTCCTGCGCCCCCGACTGGGAATAGAGCCTTCAACCTGGGCATGTGCCCTGACCCCGGGAATTAAACCTCCATTTCCTGGATCCTAGGTCGATGCTCAGCCGCTGAGCCATGCTGGCGGGGCCACACCTTTTTTTTTTAATACAAACTTTTGGTCCACTTGGGATTTCTCCTGATGTATGATGTGAGCTGCGGTGACTTTCCGCCAATGGCCAGCCAGATGTTGCCGGGACGTTTATTGCACAGCCCTGTCCTTTCACCTGCGTTGGGCACCAGCTCTGTCCTCCCTTAAACTCTTCCAGTGGTCGTGCCTTCTAGACTTTCTGTTCTGTTTGTGTGCTGAGACCACACTGCTAGTTACAGCAGCTATGGCCGTGACCGGCCTGAGAAGGAGACGGCCTCTCAGCCTAGCCCCCAGCCCTTCAGCTCGGCCCACCCGTTATTATAGCTAGGGAAACTGAGGCAAGGTGCAGTTTGGATTTGAGCCTGTGGTTTTCTGAGACCGAGCCTAGCCCCGCCCCGTTCTCTCCTCCACAGCCCTATACCCCACTGGCCTCACCTCTCTCCAGCTCAGTGGCCCCCACCCTCCAGGATAAGGTTCCCCTGACGTGGTCTGTGCGCCTTTTGTCGTCCCCCTTTTCACCCCCGGAATCCGGCCTTTTTGCTGCACTGGCCTGTGGTTCTCTGAATCGCCCCTCATTCCTCACCCCCCCATCCCCTTGCATGGGCTGCAGTTACATTCTCCCCTCCCGCCCAAGCTGGGTGCCCCTCTGTGCCCCACAGCTCCCTCTGCTCCCTTGGGATACAGTGCCGAGCCCTCTGCCTCCTTACCTGCCGTCCAGGTACAGGCACAGGTTGGTGCTGGCTTAGAGCTGCCCGCCCAGCCGAGCGGGACCCTGACCCTTGCTTCCCCCACCCCTGGCAGGCGCCAACATCGCTTCTGGTGAAGAGGTTGCCATCAAGCTCGAATGTGTGAAAACGAAGCACCCCCAGCTGCACATCGAGAGCAAGTTCTACAAGATGATGCAGGGAGGAGGTGAGGGCGGGGTAGGGGCATGAGGCTGGAGGCCGGTCTGGGGCCGGGAAGGACCTCCCCTGACAGCCCTGCTTCCCGGCCCCCAGTGGGAATCCCGTCCATCAAGTGGTGCGGGGCCGAGGGCGACTACAACGTGATGGTCATGGAGCTGCTGGGGCCCAGCCTCGAGGACCTCTTCAACTTCTGCTCCCGCAAGTTCAGCCTCAAGACGGTGCTGCTCCTGGCCGACCAGATGGTGAGCCCCCATCGCCCAGTTTTGCCAGGCTTGCTGTTTCCCTTCCAACCTCTCCTTCCCTGCCGTGCCAGTGGTCACAGGGTACCAGCCCAGCCTCCTGCTCCTGGAGGATGCCGGAGCAGGAGGCAGTAATGGGAACATAGGATAGGCCTGGCTCTGGAACCAGGGACCTTACCCATTGGCTGTAAAAGGGGGGAAGGGGGCAGGTTTCAGTGCAGATCTCCAGGCTCAACTTCAGACCTGCTGTGTTGGGCTCCAGAGTAGGGCCCAGGACTCTGCCCTCAAGTGATTTAAAGCCTGTGACACGCAGATCTAGGTCCCGTCCCAGTGTGGGGAATGGAGGTGAGCTAAGCCTCTCCAGGCCTCAGTCACCTTGGATAAGAATCTCCCCTTTGCTGGGTTGTCGTGGGGTCAGGCGGGATACCACGCAGTGCCAGGACCAGAGCAGGCACCCACGAACCAGCAGTCCTTCGTTCCTTAAGCCCTTTATAGACTCAAGGGAGGAAACTTTTAAAAAATATAAAAGCATAGACTTCTGGGCCTGAAGTGGTGTGTGGAGATCTTGTTATACAGCATCTGGGTCCGTGGCTGGCCTGCAGAATGTCTACCAGTGCCCTGCGATTTTAGGCTAAATGTGTGTGTGCCGAGGACAGTGGTCTCTTAGGTTAGGAGACTCAGAAAGGTTTAGGAAATGCTCAGCCAGGTCAAGCTAAGCCTTTGATTTACAGAAGACTGAGGCCCAGATGGGATTGGCCTACCAGAGGACACATTGTGCGCATATATGTTAATTTAGGTGTTTTGTGGGGTTTTTTTGTGTTTTTTTTACAAATTGTTTAAAGAAAGGCTTGTGTGTCTGCCTGACTTTGGTGTACTTTGGAAGTCAGGGGACAAGTCCTATCTTTTGTGCTTCATCTCTATCACACCTGCCAAGTTTAGGCATTATTGGTGCTCCCTCTCCTCTCCTCCACATAAATCTGATTGCCAGGACAACCTTCGAAATGCCTATAACTTCAGCTCCCCAGGCCCTGTGAGGGTGTAGGGCCAGGTAGGAGAGGCTTCGGTGGGGCCCGGATGCCTTTCCACACTTCATGTCTAGAGCTTGCTATTAGCTTTCCTACTATCTTGCTCTCTTTTCTGACTCACCGCAAACTGGTGAATTCTTTCTTCAGAGTTCCTCTCTAATGGCACTTCCTCCAGGAAGCCTTCCCTGACCTGCCCCTTGAAATCACTTTAAATGCTGGCAGACATCTTTCTCCCCCACCCAGGGCAAAGACCATGTATTCCATCTTGGCAGCTCCAGCCCTCTGCCCCCAGTCCAGGGCCTGGCTCATAGCACTTGGTGAAGGCCCCTCTGTGGAATGCTTGCCGAGTGACTTGCTGTCCCCTCTCCTCCCCCAGATCAGCCGCATTGAGTACATCCACTCCAAGAACTTCATCCACCGGGACGTCAAGCCTGACAACTTCCTCATGGGGCTGGGAAAGAAAGGCAACCTGGTCTACATCATTGACTTTGGCTTGGCCAAGAAGTACCGGGACGCCCGCACCCACCAGCACATCCCCTACCGGGAAAACAAGAACTTGACTGGCACTGCCCGCTATGCCTCCATCAACACCCACCTGGGCATCGGTGAGTGAACGAGCCCAGGGGCAAGGTGCGCCCCTGAGGAGCTGGCCAGGATCCTGGCTCACTGCAGCCTGGCTATTCCTCCGACTTGCCACAGTCAGGTCTCCCCTTTCAGAGAAGAGCTGTGATGTGTCGCACACGTTCACGTGCCTGGCTTCCCCCCACAGCTTTTATAGGGTGGGAAACGAACGCTCAGGGGTAACACAGGCTGCTTAAGGTTGTGCAGCTTAGTAAGTGCCAAAGCCAGATTTGACCCTAGCAGTATCTGATGCCACAACTTATGTTCTATCCACAAGGTGGGCCAGGCAAGGAGGCACTGGGGTGCCAACTACATAGTTGTCGAATGAATGAGTGCCTGCACTGGAAAAACTAGGCCCAGATAGGGTTGAGAAAGCTCAGCCTCAGGTTCCTTCTCTGTAGGAGGAAGAGACGGCCTGTTTGTAACAGGGTTTGCCACAAGCCAGCATGCGACGGGGCAGGGAGTGGGGTGGAGTAGGGTGCTGGGTGCACAGCACGGGCTGTTCCCCCTCAGTCAAGGAGCGTGTCCTGGAGGAGGGGTCCCTGGCCCCCATTGGCCAGGAGCCCGAGTGAGCCCTGCCCCTCCCCTTGTCCCTCTGTGCAGAACAAAGCCGTCGTGATGACCTGGAGAGTCTGGGCTACGTGCTCATGTACTTCAATCTGGGCTCCCTGCCCTGGCAGGGCCTCAAAGCAGCCACCAAACGCCAGAAGTATGAGCGAATCAGTGAGAAGAAGATGTCGACACCCATTGAGGTCCTCTGCAAAGGCTACCCCTGTGAGTAGGGGGGAGCTGGTTAGCCGAGGGGAGCTGGTTAGCCAGCCTGGGGACCCCTGAGGCCCTTTGCAAGGGGGAGATGTGACCACACAGTCCCTTCTGGGCTACCATTGCCCCGACGCCAGAATGTTAATCGGCTGTAACTCTGAGATTCCCTTGACTCCCTCCCTGAGTTTGATTAATTTGCTAGAGTAGCTCACAGAACTCAGGGAAACACATTTAGCAGTTTATGAAAGGATATGATAAAGGATGCAGAAGGACAGCCAGATGAGAAATACACAGGGCAAGATCTGGGAGGGTCCCGTGTACAGGAGGTTCTGTCCCCGTGGAGTTGGGGGGCGTCACCCTCCTGATACGGATACATTCACCCACCTGGAAGGTCTCTAAACCCAATGGAGGCATGGTAATTATTAACTCCATTTCTAGCCCCTTTCTCTTCTCTAGAGAAGGTAGGGGGGGCTGAAAATTCCAAGCTTCTAATTAAGTCTTGTCTTTCTGGTGACCAGGCCCCACCAGGAGCCCACCCAGAGTCACTTCATGAGGACAGGAGATGCTCCTAGCGCTCTTACCACTTAGAACTTACAAGGTTATAGGAGCCCTGTGTCAGGGACAGGGTCAAAGACCAAATTTCAGAACAAGGGATGTTCTTATCACATAGGAAATAACAAGGGTTTGGGGAGCTCTGGGCCGAGAGCCAGGGCCAGGGGCCAATGTGTATGTTGTCTGTCATCTTATGAAGGCCCCCTCTTGCCCCTGGTGGAAGTCTTCCTCCTGTGGCTTCCATCATGTCGAGAGTTCCCATCGGGCTCTTGACTGTCCTTTCTGACAGCTATTGATCTGCCATCTCCGTAACCCCCAGAGTAGTTGACAAGGGCAGGTGACGAGCTGTGAGCTAGGGTCCTGCGGCACCAGCTTACTGAAAGGGGAGACTGCTCACAGGCAGATTAGGGTTTCATCACGCGTGGAGGGGACTGTAGTCCTGCTCCATCCTCCCCTTGCCCCTCCTAGATTGAAAGGCTTGGACAGAAAGTCGGTGGGTAGGGCAGCTGCTGGCCGCTGGGGGCCCTGGGAGCATGGTCCTCACAGTGGCCTCTTCTGTCCCCATAACCTCCACCAGCTGAGTTCTCAACATACCTCAACTTCTGCCGCTCCCTGCGGTTTGACGACAAGCCCGACTACTCCTACCTGCGCCAGCTCTTCCGCAACCTCTTCCACCGGCAGGGCTTCTCCTACGACTACGTCTTCGACTGGAACATGCTCAAATTCGTGAGTCACCTGGAGGCCGAGGCGGGCTTGGGGGACTGGACAGGGAAGGCCCTGACTCATAAGGCCAAAGTGACCTTGTGGTGGGCGGGGCTCCCAACCACCGGGAGCTATGAGCTGGACTGTGCAAGTGACTTCCCTGGGGTCCCAGAGCCCCCTCGCTTCCCCGACTCCTGTCTTGTCAGTGCCGACAGCATGTGCCACTATGGTCAGCAGGGCCCAGGCAGGGTGTTGCTTCCCACCAGACCCAGGAGGACCTGGCTGGGCCTCTGGTCTCTGCTGGGCACCCGCGGCCGGGCCTGGATGGCGCTGGCGGGCCCCCCTACTGTCATGATCGTTGCCTACACCATCCTGCTCTTGTTGTTCTGTGCGTCCCAGGCGGCTGCCTTCGCTGTAGCCCCTCTGGCCAGCCTGGACCCATTCACTGTGGTTTCTTTCTTCCTGGTCACAGGGCCCTGGGCTTTGCTAGGTGGCTGTTCTGTCTCCCTCTTT